GTGCAGTCAGCCTTGTCCGATGGGGCCTGGCAAGTGACTCTTCCTGCAGCTACGGAGCTCTACAGTCCATGTCACACATTGTGAAAAATTGTCCACTGATTACAGGCTCTCCATATTGTTGATGATGACGCTATTATATGACTGAGTTAGCACTGCACACGATGATGATGATGATGATGATGATGATGATGATGATGATGATGATGATGATGATAAAGAACAATGATGATCCGGTTTGGGATCAGATTATAATGAAGATACTAAATCAATTTTGTGAATGAGATGTTTATTTATAAAGTGATGGAAAAAAGATTAAATCCGGCACCAAACACGTGCATCTAAAATCCAAGAAGGATTAAGCAAAATGATGCCCATTAAGTTAAAATAATAATAATGAGGAAACTTATTCCATTCCTAACTAGAACGAATTAGAGCATGTAACTTGAAAAAGTAATGGATATAAAGCAATTAACAGAAATTATAAATAAATAAAATTTACTAAAGGATCTATCACCTTGGAAGATCAATGTTTAGAAATGAATACAACTATGAATAGAATAACATTATTTAAAGTATTGAAATTGTACAACAACGAATTATTATTCGTATCATTATTATTATTATTTCATCCACAAGCAGGACCTTTTTACTCAACTAATGATACTAAATACATTTTGGATTTTCAATCAAATAATGATACAAAAACGGAACATAACTGGTGCCATCCAGTTGATGATCACAAAGGATATTCAGTCCAGCTCTGTCAGATGATCGTTGAGCAACCAAGCATGGCCCGCCTTTCCCAGTCTGCTAAAGGAATCCTCGATTACCATCTTGTTTGTCCCTAACCTGTTGGTCCAGAAGGCTTCGTCCTCACCACGAGAAAAACCACTCAAATCTGTTGGACCCAAGGTTTGGATCTTAGCACTAGAAAACCACTATTCTTCATTAGAGCCAATGTCACCACCGAGAGCTTCTCAATGGTTATACGAAACCCCGAATTCTGCTTTAAACTTGTTGCTTGTTTTGCCTGAAACCATGTACCGGATTGCTTAATAACAATTAATTAATTGTTTAATAACAATAATAATTAATTAATGTATTGGATGCTTTTTTGTGTTGTAAAATTGAATTATTGTCTTCTGATACTTTTAATTTTTACTAATAGGAGTAAAGATTATTGTGATACCAACTTTTTCTTTAGCATTCATATAATAATTTGGCTTGACATTATTTTAACAATTCAACTCATGCATTCCTTTTAATCAGCTATATATGATAAATTGACCACTGTCCCCTTCTATGTTTCCATCCCGTCAACTATCAAAGCTGTTTGATAAATCATCAACATCATTTCTGTAGTCTGGTAATAAAACATTAAAATTCAAATGTACTTCATATTGTTTTAATGCGCACATAGCTACAGTTTCCAGTAGCTGTAATTTCTTCTCACTCCCTTATGTTGATATTTTCTAACACAAGGATATAGTGAAAAGAGAAAAAGTATAAGGTTTTCAAATGCTAGTATTGCTAAAAATGCAAGAAAGAATAATAATTATACTAGTATTCGAAAGTTGGATTCAAAATACTTATTCAATTTGCCGAAACAGTACTCTACGGAAAGTAGGATATAACCTGACAGCGCTGGACCACATATTTTGTGAAATGTAGTATAAAAATTTATAATGCTGGATAATACAGTCCTTTCATAAATAGTATAAACACTGAAAATGCTTGACTATAGTATAAAATCATAGTATAAATAATTGATACTACTGTTCGATATAAGCCTTTCATAACTAGCATCAAACTGACAGTGCTGCACCACAGCATATTACCAAAAGTAATATGAAACTGAGAGTGATGGACTTCAGCATACTACCATAAGTAATATGCAACTGACAGTGCTGGACCACAGCGTAATACCATAAGTAGTACAAAAACTGAAGTGCTGGACTTTAACATACTACCATAAGTAATATAAAACTGATAGTGCTGGAACACAGCATAATACCATAAGTAGTACAAAAACTGACAGTGCTGGACTTCAACATACTACCATAAGTAATATAAAACTGACAGTGCTGGACCACAGTGTAATACCATAAGTAGTACAAAAACTGACAGTGCTAGACTTTAACATACTACCATAAGTAATAAAAAACTGACAGTGCTGGACCACAGCGTAATACCATAAGTAGTAAAAAAACTGACAGTAATGGACTTCAACATACTACCATAAGTAATATAAAACTGACAGTGCTGGACCAAAGCACAATACCATAAGTAGTACAAAAACAGACATTGCTGGACTTCAACATACTACCATAAGTAATATAAAACTGACAGTGCTGGACCAAAGCACAATACCATAAGTAGTACAAAAACAGACATTGCTAGACTTCAACATACTACCATAAGTAATATAAAACTGACAGTGCTGGACCACAGCGTAATACCATAAGTAGTACAAAAACTGACAGTGCTGGACCTTAACATACTACCATAAGCAATATAAAACTGACAGTGCTGGACCACAGCGTAATACCATAAGTAGTACAAAAACTGACAGTGTTGGACCACAGCGTAATACCATAAGTAATACAAAAACTGACAGTAATGGACTTCAACATACTACCATAAGTAATATAAAACTGACAGTGCTGGACCACAGCGTAATACCATAAGTAGTACAAAAACTGACAGTGCTGGACTTCAACATACTACCATAAGTAATATAAAACTGACAGTGCTGGACCACAGCGTAATACCATAAGTAGTACAAAAACTGACAGTGCTGGACTTCAACATACTACCATAAGTAATATAAAACTGACAGTGCTGGACCACAGTATAATACCATAAGTAGTACAAAAACTGACAGTGCTGGACTTCAACATACTACCATAAGTAATATAAAACTGACAGTGCTGGACCACAGCGTAATACCATAAGTAGTACAAAAACTGACAGTGCTGGACTTCAACATACTACCATAAGTAATATAAAACTGACAGTGCTGGAACACAGCGTAATACCATAAGTAGTACCAAAACTGACAGTGCTGGACTTTAACATACTACCATAAGTAATATAAAACTGACAGTGCTGGACCACAGCGTAATACCATAAGTAGTACAAAAACTGACATTGCTGGACTTCAACATACTACCATAAGTAATATGAAACTGACAATGCTGGACCACAATGTACTTCCAGAAGTATCATAACAAATGATAATCATAGACTACAGCATACTAAAACAAGTAGGAAAAACTTTGATACAGAATACTAACATAAACAGTACAAAACTAACAGTGCTAGACCACAGCGTACTACAGTACATAGTATGAAACTTAACAATGCTGGACCACAACGTACTACCATAAATAGTATGAAAACTGACATTGCTAGACCACAATATACATATATGTAAGTAACCAGTATATAATTTAATAGTGCTGGACCATACAGTATGATCATAAGTTACTTAAAAGCTGACGGTGATGGATTAGATTGTACTATCATAAGTAGTATAAAATTGTTGACAGTCTTTTACCATACAATAATATCATTAGTAGTCAACAATCTGATAGTGCTGGACCATAGTGTAAAGAAAAGAAGCTGACCTTGGAATACTGCAAGTATGGAAATTGTTTTATATATAAAGTAGTCTGACCTAGGGAAGCCACGATTAGTTTCTTTCTCTTTAAAGTAATTTCAAACATAGATTGAAACAATGTAACAGTTGGGGCTCTGGGTGTAACACTTTGAGCATACATTCCATGAACTGTATGAAAGTATAGGCTGTAACTGAATAGGTTTCAATTGTGCTGCATGATCACATGAGAGTCAAATTAACTGAATACATAACTACTTGGCAGTAAGCAAGTACATATTCACAGCTTAATCAAAGGATTGGGGAAACAAATGCTACACTGGTAGCTAACTAAAAAAATATTTTTGCAGATTTAGACCTGGCTTAAGAAACAAATGCAAATACAAATTGAATCAGATTTTTAGTGCACTGTTATGCAAACACAAAATATAATGGCAATAAGTTTATCATAGCCTCTGCAATTGATTTGTAAGTGAGCAATATTGCAAATATAGGTCTTTGATTACACATACAACCAAAATTACATTATACAGGTAATGTTCAATCACAATTATTAAAACTTCTAATTCATTATTCAGTTATACCAATTATACTACATATATTGTAATTGAACCCAATTCTGACACAAATAACAGTTGCTAGGACTGACCTAAAAATAGAAGCAATATACTCACAAGTAAACATATGTAGGTAGACAATACTGATGAACAATTCACTCTGCTACAAGCAATATTTAATATCCTAAATTATTAAAATCCACAATTTTAGTGTAATAACAAAACCATAAATTTGCAACCCTATCAATAGACTGTTGTAATGAAATTAGAGTGGTGACATTAATTAGGCCCTATTTCATTGACATGTTGGCTGTCTCATATCGGTTGGAAAGATGGTTTTAGTTTATTTATATGCCAGCTTTAATACTTCCTTGTGTTATCTATGAATAGTTTTGGTAATGGTTTATTGGCACAAAGAAATTGAGACCAGTAAAATGGTATGAAGACGTGCATTTGCTCTCTTGTATATTTTATAAGGGTTATTTTAAACAAGTTTACTAATGATTTAAACTGCCATTTGATAGTGAACTTTCACCAAAAAAATAATTTTTGTTCAAAGATAGTTGATTAAGCATTTTGTGTGTTTCTGTGTGTAACGTGGAGTCTTAATGTAGCTTTGAAAATTGTCTGGTCATATCACTATGACATCTGCAGTTTGTAGTTTATAGTGATATCTAGCATTGTGGCATCATGTCATACCATGTAGCATGATGTCCCACCCAGTCACATTATCCTACCACAAGGCTGACCAGTCCTAACACTAATCTCTTAATTCTAAGTGCCAGGCGAAGTAGCTGATAGTACCAATTTTATACGTCTTTGGTTTGACAAGACCGGGGATCGAACCCATGATCTCCTGCATCTGAGGCAGACACTCGAACAAGTAGGCCACCAGAGCAGTCATAAAGCATTTTGACTAACTTTCAATTACGATACTGTAATCTCATTACCCTGTCATTACATTGTATAGCCTCTACAGCGCTTTTAAGTCATATGACCAATATACTCTGCATATCACTACAATACTTTTTGTATGAGTATAAAATGTGTTTATAAGATACGTACAACTCAGAAAGTTTCTACTTGAAAATTAAAATATTGCTTAAAACAAATGTTAAATAAAGATATGCATACCAAGAAAAAGAGGGAATAATTCAAATAAGAGAATGAAAACAAAAAATGCACTATATTGCATATCTTGCTTTGGCTCCACTTCTCTCTGTTCTGCACTTGCTTCCCCCTATTCTGTCCAAAAGGAGAAGTCCCTTCTCCCTAAAATTTAAGCCTACCTTGACCCCTGCAGCTAAATATCAATATTATCATTCAAAAAGAGTTACTAAACATATGACTCAAAAACGAAAAACTGTCCTGATGCATACAATAAACAATAAAATTATACTATGATTTTATGCTGTTACAATATATATATATATATATATATATATATATATATATATATATATATATATATATATATATATATATATATATATATATATGGTAAATAAAGTAATAATTTTTTAATTATTTTCTCATGAAAAATAAATGTTTAGTTAATATTAACTTCATAACATTTGCTCATTTTATCTAGAAATGTGACACCTGTATCTCACGGTTCAAAAGCAAGACAAAAGAGATCTGCAATGCACTGTGTAAATATATCATGGATTTATGGAATACATTATGAATATATCTGTATTTGGAATACCTCTATTACTACTCAGTGTTTGTTTTTGCTCCCAGTTTCAAGCATATTGTTTTCATCCAAAATCATATCAAACTCCAGTCTGTCCTCTGATGCTTTGTCGGTAATAAAACAAAATATTTAAAAGGCTGTGCATGCAGAGCTGTAACTAAACACACACACACACACACACACATGCACAAACACACACATACACTTACAAACACACACTCAAGGATTGTTACATAAACCATCCACATATATTATACATTCCCAGCCTACCAATCTGGGCTGCTTCCATGAGGTTGTAACTCTATCATATATCTTTTTCTATCCTCTTAAACTGACTGCACAGATGGTTTAAATTAATTTGTAATATATATCTTTATATATATATATATATATATATATATATATATATATATATATATATATATATATATATATATATATATATATATATATATATATATATATATATATATATATATATATATATATATATATATATATATATATATATATATATATATTAATAAAGGCATTATCTACAAAACTTTGGTTAATGAAATTCCACTCAAGAGTTGTCAATGAAATAGAGTTAAATACAGAAAGACAGAAGGAATAAATGAATATATATATATATATATATATATATATATATATATATATATATATATATATATATATATGAGCTCTCAAAAATTGATGGACAGACATAATGCTGAATTCTACAAAAATACAAAATATTACAAGCTTTATATTAATATCCATGGAAGTATAAAGTCGACTACCTTAAATTGAGACCACCTTAAATGAATTCCATGATACAATCTACAAACATTATACTGCTGTGCATAGAAGCCATTAAGTCAAATGCCTTATAGTTAGACAATCTAATGATTCAGTGCATTATACATATAATATTACCTGTACCACTTAACAATGTCTTCCAAGACCAAACCCATATTATAACATTGACTGTGTTATAATGAAAAGATTCATGTCAGGAACTGTTATAATTAAAAGGCTTTATAACAGGAACTTTGTTATAATGAATAGCCTTTCATTAAGAACTGTTATAATGAAAGGCCATATAAAAGAACTGTGCTATAATGAAAGGCCTAATAACAGATAGTGTTATAATGAAAAGCCTTTTATCATGATCTGTTTTAATGAGAGACCATATAATAGGAATTGTGTTATAATGAAAGGCCTAATAATATAAAGTGTTATAATGAGAAGCCTTAGATTAGGAACTGTTTTAATGAAAGATCATATAATAGGAACCGTGTTATAATGAAAGGCCTTATATTGAGAGACTGATCTACTATTGTGTCTTGTCATGAATTAGTTTAAATAAGGTAACTGCAGTAGCTCAGTTGTCACATCATCAGACTGCAGTTTCAATACCTGTCCAAGCCCGCTACTTTGGCGTATCCCTGGAATAGACAGCTTCCATTTCTTAAGCATAATATAGCCAATGATATGGACAACGCACTATTATTACAAAATAAACCAAATATAAACTGCATGCTGCAATGAGATAGAATCACAGCCAAATTTATAATAAATTTTGTATGAAAAGGTTAGTACAGGTTTAGACTTCTCCATTATAAATGGTTTTAGAGTTTACCTGATGAAATAAAGAACCACTTTAAAATTTCTATTCAGTTTATATATATTTAATGCAAAGCATGGCCCACAAACATTATCTGTACTAATAATTTTTAGGCAAACCCATTATTAAAAAACAAAATATGATTAATATTTAAGACCTAAAATGAAAATTCCTTAGTACAGAATTAACTGTTCTTGATTTCACTTTTGCAGTTTTATTAGGGGACTCCTAGGACTGATGCCTCTGATTCCACTTTTGGGGTTTAATTAGGGGTCTCATACAACAGTTGCATTTGATTCCACTTTAGAGCTGTTAGAAGGGTTCCCTAAGGACTGATACCTTTCATTCCAATTTTTGCTTTCATTGGGGGTCTCATAGGACAGTTGCATTTGATTCCACTTTTGAGATTTTATTAGGGGTGCTGTATGTCTTGTCTTTGATTCAACTTTTGGGGTTTCAGTGGAGCTTTCTTAGGACTGAAGCTTTTAATTCCACTTTAGTGGTTTCATTTGGGATCTCTAAGGATAGCTTATTTTCATCCCACTTTTGGTGTTTCATTATGGGTCTCTTTAAGACAGGTTCTGATGTAATTCAGCAAACATGTTGATTAAAGTGTATTTGACCCTAAAATGACCCCAGATCAAGCAAAAAGGGAAGTAACTTTTATTTACTTAACAACTTTGCCCATAGTGTGTGTTCAATATGTAGCCTATACTAACCTTCAGGTGTTTCACAATTTTTGTCAGGATACTGAACTTGTATTGAGAACTCCCCGAGCAGTTTTGTAGTCAAAAGATCGTGATGCTGATGAGGTGGAAGACGTCATGCCATCACAAAGAATCTGAAATGCATCAAAATTCATTAATCTATTACAAACAAGAAAGATGTGTTGTTACACTATACCTGTTTTGTGCTTTTAGATTTTCAGACACATTAGTAGTTTTACAAGTGCTAGTTAGTAAAATGAGTATATTCTGGCAATCTATTTGCAGTTCTGTTAGAAAGTTATATACAAATCTGAAAATGGACTATTAATTAATTAACCTCATGCCATTTTAAAAAAGTGTTAAAGATGTAGTTACACCCTTTATATGTCTGTTTGTCCATCTATATGTTCTGTCCTTTACACCATCTGAAAAAAACACAGCTGGAAGTTAATAAAACTGTAGTTTTGTTGTCCCTATGGCAATGATTTGCAAGAAGGGAGTAATTTATTGTTCCCACAGCTGGGCCAAAAATGGTGGCCTAAGTTCAAATGCACAAAATTTTTAATTACAATGACATTTTCCAATTGATTCTGACCATACCTCATATATGCAGCAACAGCTGGTAGATGCATCATACAGCTTCTGACATGAATTTTGTATTGTAACACTTTCTGCCTTAACGTGATGCAACTCCATGACGGGCCTATTTAACCTGATGCAACTCCATGACGGGCCTATTTAACGTGATGCAGCTCCATGACTGGCCTATTTAACGTAATGCAACTCCATGACGGGCCTACCTATTTATCGCGATGCAACTCCATGACGGGCCTATTTAACGTGATGCAACTCCATGACGGGCCTATTTAACCTGATGCAGCTCCATGACGGGCCTATTTAACGCGATGCAACTCCATGACGGCCCTATTTAATGCGATGCAACTCCATGACGGGCCTATTTAACGCAATGCAACTCCATGACGGGCCTATTTAACCTGATGCAACTCCATGACGGGCCTATTTAACGTGATGCAGCTCCATGACGGGCCTATTTAACGTGATGCAACTCCATGACGGGCCTATTTTAAGTGATGCAACTCCATGACAGGCGTATTTAACGTGATGCCACTCCATGACGGGCCTATTTAACATGATGCAACTCCATGACCGCCCTATTTTAAGTGACGCAACTCCATGACAGGCCTATTTGACGTGATGCAACTCCATGACGGGCCTATTTAACCTGATGCAACTCCATGACGGACCTATTTAACGTGATGCAACTCCATGACGGGCCTATTTAACGCGATGCAACTCCATGACGGGCCTATTTAACATGATGCAGCTCCATGACTGGCCTATTTAACATGATGGAGCTCCATGACGGGCCTATTTAACGCGATGCAACTCTATGACGGGCCTATTTAACGTGATGCAACTCCATGACGGGCCTATTTTACGTGATGCAGCTGCATGACGGGAGTATTTAACGCGATGCAACTATATGACGGGCCTATTTAACATGATGTAGCTCCATGACGGGCCTATTTAACGCGATCCAACTCTAAGACGGCACTATTTAACGCGATGTAACTCCATGACGGGCCTATTTAACGAAATGCAACTCCATGACGGGCCTATGCAACTCCATGACGGGCCTATTTAACGTGATGCAGCTCCATGATGGGCCTATTTAACCTGATGCAGCTCCATGACGGGCCTATTTAACGTGATGCAACTCCATGACGGGCCTATTTAACGTGATGCAACTCCATGACGGGCCTATTTAACGCGATGCAACTCCATGACGGGCCTATTTAACGTGATGCAACTCCATGACGGGCCTATTTAACGCGATGCAACTCCATGACGGGCCTATTTAACTTACTGC